GTGGGCTTCAGTTTTCATCAGGGAGCCTGAGAGTGGCCCTCTCTCTGTTGTTCACTTCTGCAGCTGAGGACAATGGCCTTTATGCTCCCCTCTGCCTCTGTAGGATGGATCCAGCCGCGGTGGGGGCTGTTGTTGCAGGCGCCCACATGGCCAAGCTGGAGGCTGGTGGGCATGCCGGGGGTCCTCACTGGCTAGGTCTCCGGCTAGGTCTCCTGGTCGAAAGTGGGCGGAGTGAGCCGTACTAAGCAGGGCGCACTAAGCCTGTTCCTGCTCTGCCTGTGCCTGTCCTTGCTTTTAAGAGCCAAATTCTGTGTAAGCATTGGTCACCTTGGTTTTAGAATGAATCCTCTTAATAGGATGCTGTAGGTGCAGAATGTGGGTCTGAAACTTTATAATCACTGAGTAGGCATCTTGAAGACTTCTAACCTCCTTTCTTCCTTTTCTCTGTGCAGCATAATAAGTGTGCCACGTACTCTGTGGGAATGCAGAAAACTTACTCCATGATCTGCTTAGCTATAGATGATGATGATAAAACTGATAAAACCAAGAAAATCACGAAAAAGCTTTCATTTTTGAGTTGGGGCACCAATAAGAACCGACGGAAGTCAGCCAGCACCTTGTGCATCCCAGCAGTGGGGGTGGCAAGGCCTCATGTCAAGAAGAAGCTCCCCACACCTTTCAGCCTGCTCAGCTCTGACAGCTCTCGGTACTGACGGGAGGAAGTGGAAATGTTCACTTCCGGGGTTCACTGGGCCTTAACATTTGTGCCATAATGCAGAGTATCTCAATATTTTCAAATCCCATTTTCTCATGTGTTTGATGTGCTTTTATGAAAGTAACAAGAAACTTCTGAAGTTTGTGGAAAACACACTTGAGTATCGCAATATTGCTGCAAGTTATTTATTCTATAAAGTATTGTACATAGAGTAGTGTTGAAATCATGGTGGTTTTTTTTTTTGTACCGGGGATTGAACTCTGGACCTTGCGCTTGTGAGGCAGGTGCCGGAGCCACTGAGCTAAATCCCCGGCCCATTATGGCCGTTTTTAATGGTTACAGTGACCACTTTTAAGTACTCTCAGCGTTAAATTGTGGTTACCTACATTAGTACTGTTTGTTAACTGCCCAGGTTTGGGTAATAATCTTTCCTTAACCTAGAATTCAGATGACCCTTGAATTAAGGCAGGTCACAGGACTATGACAGAATGAAATTTGTTACTAAAAACTTCTAAAGAGCTGCTTCCTCATGGAATTCATTAACTTAAAATAAGATTTTCCCATTATTTCTACCTAATATGAATGCTATTTCCAAATAAAGCCTAGTGCCAAATTTGTCTTGAATTATTCTTTTTTTTTTTGCAGTGCCAAAAAAAAAGTACTACCAAGAAATAAAAATAAAATTTAAAAGCAGCTTTTCCCAGTTTCATGCTATTTGTAAGTTGCTAACACAGTGGCAGTGTTAGATGGAGATGCTGTCTACAGGGTAGATAATATGCTGTTTGATACTCAAAACATTTTCATTGTGTTTAAAGTAGAAAGTACATAACTATATTTTAAGAGTCTTGGGTAAAAAAAGTAGATTTACATTTTATACGGTGAAGATGTAAATGATTCAAATTTAAAGCTCTGACTTTTTTAAATGAACATTCTTACCAGTTTGATTTCTCTGGCTATAAGTTGGATGACACTGTGACTAATAAAGATTCATGGTTGACATAGTAAAAGTGACATAGCTTAAAAATATAGCATTTTGAGAATGAGAATTTAAATATTTTATATTGTGCAATATCTTAAGGGAAGCAACCACCTTTGGGAAAGTGTATCTATCCACTGCTCATAGAACCATGTTTGTATAAATATTTAAATAAATACATTTATCTGACTTTTTTTGCTTTTGGGTCACTTTAATTCTTTCAAATAAGTATCACCCTAATGCACAAGATGTTTTTATTGTTGATTTTTAAACATTAAAATAAAATGAGCTCTTAAGTTATCTTAGTATTTTTAAAAACGTGGCATTTTTAATGTGTGTATTTTTTTAATGGGCACTTGTACCCTTTGATCCCTAGCCCCTGGCTCCCCTCAGTGGCTGCAGCACACTCTTAATGTTTTCTGGTGTATCCTCCCATTGCTGGGCCACAGGTATACAGACACCTTCTTCACACGTATTTTTCATCTTTAAATGGGGAATTTCAGACCCCAGGCTTTCTGTGTTCAGAAGACACACCCAGTAGTTATAAACAGACTGTGTGGTGGCTATCCCTTTCCTCCAAAAAAACAGGAAGGGAGGAATGAAGGCACAAAGGAAGGGACTGTTGTACATCTGTTTATTTACGTTGGCAGCAGCCCTCTGAGCACAGCATATGCAGACCAGACCTGAAGAGCAGCAACTGCCACCAGGAACGGGGGACTTAGCATACACAGTGCTTCACTGTCGGTTAGTTTCCTTTAAATGGTCACACGCAGTGTCTGAACTTTACAAGACCTTCCCGTGGCAGATGTTGGTCAAGGTCACTCAAAAATCCGCCTTAGCTAGATTTTTGCTCAGAATGAGTCTCAGCAAAGGCAGATCCTCGATGGTCTTTTCATCTTAGCAGAATGAGGTAGTGTCACCTGCAGCCACTAACTTAAATGCCCAAACCTAGAGAGCAAACCCTTACAATTCAGTCTCCATTAGGCCTCTCCTTGTGTTTCACAAGTTGCTGTGAAAGGAAATTTTTTCTTGTTTTTTAAATATAAAAACCGGATCTTGTAGTTTGTGGTCTAAAGGAGAAAAACATCGTAGATGTGAGGCCAATGGTCACCTGGACTGGGTGAAGAAGACATGGATATGCTGTGCTACTGCCTGTCCAACAACCGGCTCGAGTTCTTGGATGGAAGCATTACTCAGCTGCTGGATACTTGGAAACTTCTGGAGCAGAAGAAGAGCTTTAACTTTTCCAACTCCTGGGATCTGCTGCACAGTTCGAAGAAGAAATGGCTCAGAGAGCACAGCCCGTTTCTTCCTGAGGAAAGGGTTTTTATTGGGCTCTTTGGTTTGCTCTTGAACCTGAACAGGAAATGAAAGGAAAAAGCACATAAGCGCCCTCTGGAGGACTAGCAGTTTTCTTAAAATTTTTCCATTTGATTGGGCTTGTCTTGTAGGTTCAAATGTTTACAGACGCCATGAACATAAATCTTCAGACATCAGCAAAATAACTGAATCTTTAAAAAAATTATTACAATTGCCTTTAATCCCTTATGAAGCAATTGCCTTTAATCCCCCACAAAGCACTTCCTCTTGTTTCAAATACACACATCCCATTGTTCTTTCCACTTTCTGAAGCAGTTCTGAAAGTCCTCTTTTGTGAGTATCTTTAGTTGTGCTGTAGTGGCTGCCTCAATGTCCTGAATCAATTAAAAATGTTAATCTTTCATAAGAGCCAGAAGTCACACAATGCCAGATCTAACGAATAAGGTGGACAAGGACACACCATAATGTTTATCTGACTGAAATTGCCATAAACGTTTTGAATTGATTCAGGATACCGAGGCAGCCATGAAAATATACTCACAAAAGAGGACTTCCAGAACTGCTTCAGAAAGTGGCAAAAATGATGGATAAGTGTGTTTGAAGAGAGGTGGAGAATTTTGAGGGACTGACAACAATGTATCTTTTTTTAAGACAAGATCTCACTATGCCAATGTGTCTTTTAATGCAATAATTTTTAAATTTTTCTTTTTTTTTTTGGTACCGGGGATCGAACTTGGGACCTTGCGCTTGCGAGGCAGGCACCGGAACCACTGAGCTAAATCCCCGGCCCTTTAATTTTTAATTTAAACATTCACACCCAGTATCTAAATGAGACCTGCTTCATACAGGACCTGTGGGAAGCTTGCCTATCAAAGGAGAAACCCACTCAAGTCAGTGGTGGTTATACCAAGGCAGATAGTAGCATTATTTCATAGCAAGTTAGGAATTAAGAACCAAAGGATGCAGTGGAGAGAAATCTGTGAACCTCACAGGGCTGCTTGCATTTCCAATTTGGTTCTCAACCCAAGTTGCACATCAGAGGGGATTTAAAAACAAAAATGGATGCTCAGGGCCTGTCCTCATGTTCTGATTTTCAGTTGGTCAGAGGTAAACCTAATGCATCACTTTGTGAGTGTGTGTGTGTGAGTGTGTGTGTGTGTGTGTTTGTATGGTGCTGGGGATCAAACCCAAGGTTTCATAGATGCTAGACAAGAGCTCTACCACTGAGCTGCACTACCAGCTCTGTCACTTTTTTAAAAAAGTTCACCAGCATTAACTGCGGGATAATGAATGACAGAATTATCACATTAGCCTGGGAGTCTTAAAATCAGATCTTCAACTTGTTCGCTTTGTTATTCACTTGCCTGAAGTGGGTGGCAGGCTCAGCTGGCTGCAGAGGTGGCTGCTGAACTTTCACACAGATTGGAGTCAGGGGTTACAACTATATCTAGTGTGAAATGATCCATCAAAGTGAGTTGAGAATCTGCATGAGGACAGGGCTATTGTGAAGGAGGAATCCATACTTACTAACTGCACAATGAGGCAGGACGCTTCTGTCTGGTTGGCCACTGGAAGCAACACCATCCCAAGGTCCAGCACGGTAAACTTCTGTATGTTTGGGAAGTACTGTTCACTCATTTGTGTTTTTTCAACTACTACAATCCCTTGAAGATTATGAGACTTAAAAGAAAAATGTAAACAAACCATTTAGTAAAGAGTTTCCTTTCAAAATTTAAACCCTGAGCCGGGGATTTAGCTCAGTGGTTCCGCCACCTGCCTTGCAAGCACAAGGTCCCGAGTTCAATCCCTGGTACCAAACAAACAAACAAAAAACCTATCACGTTATTGGTGGTCTCCATCGTTGGCTTGGGATGACCAATGGGATTACAGAAATTATTCCAAGGGATTGGGGGTGGGGCGGGGATGACACAAATCAATGTTCAATTTCAGTTTCTTAAATTCAGTACTTACATTTCTGATCCGAACAAGTCTCTTTCTGTAGCCATTTCCTGCCACTAAATCAGCTTCGGTGATATAGAGAATGCAAGATCTGCTGGACAGGTAAAAATCTACAGCTGTCAGGCCATCCTCAAAAACGAGTTTAATTTTCCCTTAAAATACAGACAACAAAATGAGTTCTGTGACCTTTCGTTAAATGTGTGGTGAAAAAAGGGCTTGGCAATGGAGAGTACCCCAACCCACCGACCTTGCATCTCTCGCGCCAGCTGCGACCCACGCCATTTCTCGTTGGCCAAGATGTGCCCAAAAGGCACGTGCACGGGTCCCGTGCTGTCAGAGGGGTTGTCCATCGGTGGTCTTGATCTAATGAGGCAAATGCAAGACAGTATTTGAAAGGCTCTACTGCACACGACTCCACATTCCCCTCGAAGCCGGGCCCCCTTTGGCAAGATTCCGGCTACAGAGTGGTCAGTGAAAGACTGAATAATTTTTCAGGTCTAAGAACCAGGAGACCTGGTGGCTGCATCCCTCGTTTTTGGTACCTGCCTGGTCCCTGATACCCCAGCTGGGTCCGCACCCTGTCTCTTCCGTCCAGTCCAGGATCCGGGCAGAGGAGCGGACCACGCCTCCACCCCTGTAGGTAGGATCAGAGAACTTTACCTGAGCCTGGTCCACTTCCGGGTTCGCATCCATTGCTCCTGCCCAGTTTTTCGTCCTGCCCGCCCTCGTCCTCCCACAGCGTCGGATAGGCTGTGGTGCCTGTGATTGATACCTGATCTGACCAATAAGAGGACAGACAGCTAAGAAAGCTTCCGCGCTGGTAGAGATTTGAACGAGACGCACTAGTTGCCAAGAGCGACGGGCTTGGAAGTAACCTTAGCTCTGATTGGTCGAAAATAAAACACAGCCAGTGGCGGGCGTGGTTGTTGTGAAGTTCCTTGGGAAGAAAAAGCGTCCGGAGTTCTTCCAGTGGTAGTAGAACTGGCTTTAGGGAACGGTCTCTGGCCCTGGAGATAGATACTCTTAAATCCAACCCTTGACCTGGTCATCCCCCGCAGCGAGGATGCTCCTGGGATTTCGGAGATCCCGCAGGAGCCAGTTCGTAAGTAGATTCAATCCTGTCCTGCTCATCGGCCCCATGGGGCTGGGAGTTAGGTAGGAGATGAGATTTTGGGGGCGTATTTGGGCTTTGGCCTGGGATTAAGGCAAGGCGGCGGCACCGGAGGAAGTGTTTTTCAGTTTGAAAAGCTCAGATTTTATTCGGGTGTGGTGGTGCCTGCTTGTAATTCCATCCCTGGGGAGGCTGAGGAAGGAGGATCCCAAGTTCGAGCCCAGTTCGGGCAATTTAGCGAGTGTCTGTCTCTAAAGAAATAAATAAGTATAAATACGTAACTGAGGGTGTAGCTCAGCGTTCCCATAGTCGGGAACAGTACTTCTGTATGGATGGGAAGTACTGTTCACTCATCTGTGTTTTTTGAAGTACCACAATCCCTTGAAGATTATTAGACTTCAAAGAAAAAAGTAAATCATTTCGTAATGAATTCCCACTACTGCAAAATAAAATAATACATTATCCGCTGTTTGGAATATGGAAGGCCATTCTGACTGCTAGAGTATCAAAGATATGCAGGGATGAGGAGGGGTAGCAAGAGATGGATTTGGGTCCCTTGGTAGGAACCATTTTATACAGCCTGTGCCATGCCCTGTCCCTGAGGGTGGAGGTAGGCTCATTCTGTCACTTAGAGACTGGAGGACCATACCTAGGAAACAATTATCGTGATACAAGTGAGAAATGGGGGGTCCACTCTCAAAACAAGCAGAGCTCTGGCCTGGGATTTAACTCAGTGGCACCATGCCTGCCTTTCCCCGGTACCAAAAACAATCAAAACAAGCAGAGCTCATGAAGCCTTTTTTTGGAGGATCTACCTGATGCCAGCCCTTGGGGATTCAAAGGTTAGGAAGAAAATCCTGATCCCTGCACTCTGGGAGGCAGAGGCAGGAGGATTACACGTTTGAGCCTAGCTTGTGTAATTTAGCCACTCAGCAAGATCCTGTCTCAAAAAAAGAAGAGGGGAGGCTGAAGATGTAGCTCAGTTCTGAGGCGCTGGGTTCAGTCCCCAGTGGGGGCGGGGGGAGAAGAAAAAGAAACCCCTTTCTTCCTGAGTATCTGGAGGAGAGTGGAGAGGGAAGAGGGCGACAAGTTATATGACAAAAACAGGGAGGTAGATGTCACACAAAGAAGTTCACAGAGTAGAGGGATAGGAGAGATGTCTCTGGAACATCTGCTCCTGTGAGTGGCCTTGGAACTGGGGATGGGGTCTGCAGGAGACACCATAGATCTGCCCATCCCTGACTCCTGAAGGAAGCCCCTGGCTGCGCTTCCTTCCCTGCCCAGTACCTTGTACCTACCACCAGCCAGTTAGTCTTTGAAGAGGCCACTTTCAAAGGGTGCTGCTCACTGGGCCATGAGATCTGGTCAGTTTGTATCAAAGCCCTGCAATTGGAAATAATCCCCACTGCCACCCCTAGCCCATCGTCCTGGTCTCTCCCACCCAGGTGATGCTGGCAAACTGGAGTGCTTGTAATTTGCAGGACATTGTCACCAGTGTCTCACTCTGGTCCCTTGTCCATGTTCTTCCTAGAATGCTTTTCCATCACATTCCAAATGTGAGAACATTGGCTGTCTTTGAAGACCGAGTCTGAATGCCTCTGTAATTTTCTCCAGAGAGAACATTTGAGGTCCCCTTGCTGGCTCCAAGATTTAAGAAGGCTTTCCCTCTTTGGGCTACATCTCCCTTGATATTTTTTTATTTAATGGTACCGAAGGTTGAACCCAAGGACCACTGAGCTAAGACAAGGTCTTACTAAAATTCCCAGGTTGGCCTCAATATTATGATCCTCCTGACTCAGCCTACCTTGTAGCTGGAGTTACAGGTGTGCAAAACCATGCCCAACTAATTCTGTGTTCTATAACAACGATTTGGGTGTTTATTCCTCTATACCCCTTTGAGGATGAAGACATGTTTTCTTCATTGCTATCATGGTATCCTGCCTCTGGAGACTAGTGTCAAGAAAATGAAGATTAGGCAAGTCTCAGAAACTTCTGAGAGAGCCAGGGATGTAGCTCAGGGGTGCACTGCCTGCCTGGCAAGAAAAGGGCCCTGAGTTCAGTTCCCGGTACAAAAAAAGAGAAACTTTTACCTCCAGTACCTTCAGTTACCTAAAGCAGTGTTCTTTCTGCCTTTCATTGTGTATAGGAATTTGTTTTCCATACCTTACTTTGAATCTTTTGTGTGTGGTACTGGGGAACAAACCAGGGCCTTAATACTGAAATACATCCCTATCCCTTATTTATTTATTTATTTATTTATTTATTTATTTATTTATTTTGGAGACAGGGTCTTGCTAAATTGCCCAGGTTGGGCTCTAACTTGCATTCCTCCTGGTTTAGCTTTCCAAAGTGCTGGGATCACAGGTGTGTGCCACCATGCTCAGCTCCCAGCCCTTTAAAATTTTTTTTATATTTTGAGATAGGATCTCATTAAGCTGCCCAGGCTGAGCTCTAACTTATAATTCTCCTGCCTCAGGCACTCAGAGTGTTGGGATTATAGGTGTGGGTCACTATCCTTGGCTCTTACTCTGCATGTTTGAGCTGAGCTACCTAAAATTTTCCCTAAGTTCCTACCAGATGTGGGTCAGTGTGGTCAGTGCTAGAGTTCTAGGGTTGACAAGGGTAAAGGCGCCTGTTTCCCAGGAAGTCATTCCTACCTACAGGGGAGGCATGGGAGGTCCCATTGTGAGTAGTGCTGTGGGACAAGTGGAGGGGCTGCAGGGCGACTCGGGGATGCTCAGCAAAGCTGAGGAGGGAGAGACAGAGGCCCCTCTAAGGGGCATTGTGGTGGCAGCAGTCCCTGGTGCATGCACTTGGAAAGGGGCTGGATCCTCGGGTAGGAAGAGGTGGTGACAGGACCCAGGTGATTTCTCCTAGCCTGGTGACTTCTGCTGGGTTTTATTTGTGCAGAGACACATCGTCCATGGCCTCCTGCCTGCAGCCAGCATTGCTCCGAAGCCAGCTGTGCCTCGAACACCTCCTCCCCGAAGCCCCAGCCCATCCTCAGAGAGACCCAGGTGAGTCTCAGATGAGCAGGTACTGAGGTCCACCCCATGCTCAGCTGCCAAGTACAGGATCCTAGAAGGTGAAAACTCACAAGCAGGATGACTAGAATCCTATAGAAAAGTGCAAGTAGGGCGACTGGAATCTTATAATTTGAAATTTTTGCCACAGTGCCCTGATTCTGCCTCCACTGAGCGGCAGTGGACTTCTTTGGGCTCTGTCCCTTTCAGTGTCTGGTGCTGTTGCATTTCACAATTGGCTGCAGTTCATGTTTTTCAAAACAGAAAGCATGAAAGCCCAGCTTAATAATCCTTCAGAGAGTTTTGAATTGTGCACAAAAAATTGTGTATTTTCTTTTTAGACACAATTCTTCCTTTTAAAAGATCTGCTATGTGGGTGTGGTGGTGCACCCCTGCAATCCCAGCACTCAGGAGGCTGAGGCAAGAGGATTGCCATGAGTTTGAGGCCAGCCTGGATTATATAGCAAGACCCTGTCTCAAGCCCACCCCCAAAAGAAAATAAGCTATGATTTCCCATTCTTCAGCACTCCAAATGCACCAAAAAGCTGACTCTTATTCTTGGAACTTCTGCCTGTGCCCGCCAAGATTTAAGACAGGAGGGTTTAAGACTAGTGTTTTTTTTGTTTTTGTTTTGTTTTGTTTGTACTGGGGTTTAAACCCAAGGCCTTCACACTGAGCTACGTCCCTAGCCTTTATATTTTTTAGTTTTTGAGACAGAGTCTCAGTAAGTTGCTAAGTTGACCCAGGCTAGGCTCAGCCTCCCAGAGTGCTGGGATTGTAGTCATGCCCCACCATGCCTGGCATCGCCTAGTTTTAATTCATAAACTCCACTGAATGAGAACTGACTTCATCTCAGAAAGGTGCTTTTTAGTCTCCTTTGGTACTAGAATATCGTATGCCTCCTGATTAAAAAAATCACTCTGAAGGGCTAAGGGTATATCTCAGTGGTAGGGCACTTACCTAGTATGCATGAAGTTTAATTCCTCAGCACCACCAAAGCAGAAAAAAAAAGAGCCACTCTGAAATGTCTTAGTGTTTGATTTTTCCTTCAGCATAATCTTGATAACATGGATAGCATGTATTAGTGTTTACTCTCTGCTGAGTACTCTTGGAAGTAGATGGCCTTGTTCCATCCTCCATCCTCTCAACAACCCTGTGAGAGGGGTCCCCGGAGGCTCAGGTGGTAGGGAGGCTCAGAATCACAGGCCTGGCTGTTGAGCGGCTGCCTCCCCACAATGGGAAGGTGGCTCTTTGTAGCTCCTCAGACTGGTGTGAATGGCTTTTTCGTTGTGTTTTGGGGACTTATTTCTATTATAATCCACTGTGCAGGAGAAAAGTAATGGAACAGGTTACTTCATGGCAAGCGTGTTGTGGACTTATTAGAAAAATCTCTCATTGTCTCCTGTGCTTTACACAACTATCTTCCTGGATTATAGTCTTTATAACCTCAAATAATCAACATGGTTTTAGCAAATTTGGCGTATTTCTAGATTCTTTATTTCTAAAAGATAACATCTCAGTTAATCTTATTTTTAGTACGAGGGATTGAATTTAGGACCTTGCACTTGCGAGGCAGGCGTGGTGCCACTGAGCTAAATCCCTCACCCTAGTGAATCATATTATTCCACTTCTTGTATTTTTATTTTATTTATTTATTTATTTATTTATTTATTTATTTATTTATTTTTCATTTTCTTGAGGTAGGGTTTTGCTATGTAGTTTGGGCTGGTCTTGAACTCACTCTGTAGCTGAGGCTGGTCTTGAATTTGTGGCAGTCTGCCTGCCTCAGCCTCCCAAGTGCTGGGATTCCAGGTGGGTACCACTATGCCCTGTTCTCCACTTCATATATAAAGTAAGAATCTTCCAGCAATCAATTTCTTTCCCCTCTTTGGAGCCACTGTTGTCATACACATAAATTCTAACTGTAGAAATGCCACAGTGTATGGTTATTATTTTTGCTTTAGATAGTCACTTGTTTGGGTAAAGTCAGTTTTATTGAGGTATAATAAACTGTACATATTTAAATCCATAATTTGATAACTTTTTTTTCTTGAAGTACTGGGGATGCAACCCAGGGGTGGGGGGCTCTACCACTGAGCTTACCCTCAGTTATATTTTTTAGTTTGGGGCATGGTCTCACTAAGCTGCTAACAACATATGGAATGCATGCCAGTAATCTGTATCCTGCCCGGAGAAAATCCCATAAGACATGAGGGGAAAGTTTAAAAAGATGCCATACTCACGACCCAATGCGAAAGTACCAGCCCCTCCCTCGTCCATACCAGCGAAGCCATAGAAGCTGTCCTGTTCTTTTGTGTCTGTGACTTCTATAGCTCCTCAAGCCTAATACCCTTCTTGATTTTTCTCTTACTCCCTAACTCTGCCTAAGAAATCTGCCCATGCCTCTCACTGATGTGTCCTGAAATTCTTTACCTCTACGCATTGCTGAAAAGTCCAAGTTCAATGTCTCCTCTGAGAATTAAGGCAAACTGGCGAACTTTTAGCTGCAAGCCTCTGTACAAATGAAAAGAAAAGTCGAACACTTGCAACATTCAATGGCATAAGATAGACATTTCTATTCCAGAAGTTACAGACAGGAGCATACAAAGGAATGGGAACAAAGCAAGTCCAAAATCCAGCAGGGCAAACATTAAATCCCACAGTTCCAACTTCCAGCATCCCTGGCAATCTGTGGCAAGTTATGAACTCCAAAGGGCTTATGTGGCTCCGCCCCTATGGCACTTCCGGTGGTTGTAGCTCCCATTATTTCTCTCTTGGGGCAGCTCTGCTCCCTCCTTGCAGTTCTCAGACAATCCACACTCCTGGCTTCTTCAAACTTCTGGGGTCTCCGCTGCACCTTCGACTTCACACACTGCCTTCTCAGGGGCACATTGCCTGGGCTCCCAGGCCTTCTTCTGAGATCTAGGTGGAAGCTTTCCTGACCCCACAACTCTCACATTCTGCATGCACCTAAAACCAGTGCCACATGGATGATGCCAAGGTCAGCTGCCCTCTGGAGCAGTAGCTAGTCTTTCCTCTGAGCTGTAGGGGTTCAGTGCGATTGCTGAGCACTCTGAGTCCAATTCTGAGGAACAGATTCTCTAGGCTGCTGCCATTCTGGAACATGGTGCTCTGGGGCTCTCTTCTCAAAACAAAGTCATTCACTTTTGCAGTTTTGAGGCTTTAAAGGGTGAGATCCTGCTGCTTCTTGTGATACCCTCACACCATCTTTTTTATTTTCCTGTTCTTTCTCAGCAATCAAGATCTCCTCTGCTCTATCTTTACAGTCCACAGCTTTACTGGAGCTTCCTTTCTGGCCAAACTCAAAACATTTTAAGTCATTCTGCTGGGATCTTTGCTCTTGATTCTCAACATAGATCTGGCTAAAAGCCCCCAACAGCAGCCATGCCATGACTTTAACATTAGCTTGCCTTGAAATCAGTCTCAGGCAAAGTCTCTGGACACAAACAAAATGCAGACAAACTTTCTGCCAAACCATAACACACATCATCTGGAGTCTTCCCAGCAGAAACCTCCCGAGCCTGATCTTTACTGGTTTTCTGGTCATCTGAGCTCTGACCAGAATCTCCCATACAGAACAGCCTCAGGAGTTCCAGCTCTGCTTCAGCCGGCATCTCCGAACCTTTCCTAACTCTTCCCTTTCCCATAAGCCAGTTCCAAAGGCTCTTGATCCACATGGCCAGGTAATGTTGTAGCAACAGCCCTACTTCTCTGGTACCAAATTTGTTTTCTCTTGTTGCTGAGACAAAATAGCTGACATCCAAAGTTAAAGGGGGAAAGGTCTTTTAGGCTTACAGTTCAAAGAGGTTTCAGTCCATAATCAGCTGGCTCCAAGGCAGGGTGGCAGAGGCGCAATAGTTCATGGGAGCAGAAGCAGCAAAAGCAACAAAAGAAGTTTAACAGCATCTTTCTGCCCCTTTTATCTTATTCAGACTAATGGGATTAGGGCGTTGTCAAACCAATCACTCACATATAGTGGTTTAGTAATCACATGCCCTTAATCCCAGCATGACACACTGTAGATTCAGCCACCTCCAAAATAGCCCCATTTCACTTGCATGAGGCTTTTGGGGGATATCTAAACATAAGCCATAACACATGCCTTGCCTGTAAGATCGGCACTCTGGGAGGCTGAGGTAGGAGGATTGAAAATTCAACCTGGAAACCATAATAAGTGAAATAAATCAGATTCACAAGTTTAAATCTCATGGTTTCTCTTATATGAGAAACCCAAAGTAGAAATAAATCAAAGAGCGAAAGAAAAGATAGATAATAGTAAACAGCAAGATAGATCTTTTGCAAACAGGAAGAGGACCAAGAGATGTGGGGCGGGAGCATAAAAAGAATCAAGATGTGTTATGTACCTGTACCATCTCCCCACAATGAATATAATCATTATGTACTCCAAACAAGTATTAATAAAAATTTAAATTTAAAAAAAAGAAAGCGAGCCTAGCCTGGGCAATTTAGTGGCTTAGTGAGAGCCTATCTCAAAATAAAAAATAAAAAAGGGGCTGGGGTTGTAGCTCAGTGCAAAGGCCTGGGGTTCAATCCCCAGTGCCACAAAGTGGGGGGACATTTAATAGTATGCAGCTCTGAGGATATGACTTTTCCTATTGTTGTAGTCAGGGTTTCCAAGGGAAATAGATTTAATACAGGACACACAATTTATAGGATCATTTTATGATAATTACCCAAAAGTTAAATACAAAGGAGTGTAAGAGATTAACCATACACTCAAAGCCCAAAGGCTTAGAGTCCAAGGCAGTGTCCTCCACGAGTCCAGCCAGTGGCCTAGAGCCCATGGCAATGTGTCATGCTTGTTGGTATTGAGGATCTGCACCTGAAAGGCCCAAAGGGCAGTGGTGGAAGCCAAAAACCTATACCAGTGAGATGAAGGATTTGTGCCATCAGGCTGAGGGATCTACTTTGGAGCTAGGAAGTAATGTTCACGGTGAAGATCAGAGCTCCCCTGATGAGAACAGCAGCCATTCCCAGCAACAGCAAGGCCCCAAGATCCCCTCCTATGAGAACAGCCAAGTTCACATCAGGAAAACCATCTGCAGCAAGCTCCTCCTAGAAAAATCAGTAGGCCACAATCTTTCCTTCCAGTTCTCTTTTTATGGCTATTGGCAACAGTCCTCAAGTGGGTCTTCCATGCCCAGACCAGGCTAATTCAGTTAGGTGTTACAAGCTGACCATTAATTAATCCACCACAACTATACCCTCTGTTTCTCCTGTACTCTCAACCAGCATCAATCAACAGAGATCACTTCTGTGACTCCAAAAGGTGTAGATTCCCCCATCCCACCAGCACACAAGCAATTAATTCAGCAGTGGATACCACCCGGGTCTCCTCTGACCCAGTTCAGTTCTTCTAGTGCCTAACTAGAGGGAGCAGCAGACCCCACAGGTTGAGGGCTAAGTCCCCAATGCTGCCCCTTCCACATCTAAGATGCCAGTCACAAGCCCAGCTTGTTTCACCTGTGTTTTATACATACTGGCCACAAACATGGGTCCCCACAGTCCCCCGTTTTACATTTGATTCATTTGCTAGAGCAGCTTATAGAAGTCAGAGAAACATGTTTATCAGTTTACTTATAAAGGACACAGTATTTTTTTTTTCTGGTACCGGGGATCGAACTCAGGACCTTGCGCTTGCAAGGTAGGTGGTAGCACCACTGAACTAAATCCCCAGCCTAGGACACAGTATGTATAAAGACACAGACATCCAGGTGATGAGACAGCTTCTGTCCCCGTGGAGTTGGCACATGGATGTGTTCTTGTACACCTTCCTAGAAGCCCCCACATGGTCTGGCTATCTGCAAGCTCCCTGAACCCAGTCTTTCTGGGTTTTATGGTAGATTTATTATGTGGGCATGGTGGGTTAAATGCCCATCAGTGATCCCTTTAACTAGCAACCTCTCACCTCCCCACAGGTGGGAGATGGAGCTGAAAGTCTCTACTCTCGAAAGCCCGGGTTGGTTCCTATGGCAACCAATCCCCTCCTCTTGTGGTTATCTAGGGACTTGAGCAGATCACCTCAGTAACCGAAACTTGGGTGTCTGAAAGGGCTTGTAAATAATAAAAGATTGTGTCGTTTACTTTTATTGCTCTGAAGTTGTTCTAGAGCCACTTCAGGAACCAAGGACTAAAGGCCAAATACTTAAATAAGATACTCTTACTGCTCTAGTCTCTTAGGAAATATCAAGGTCACAGGAGCTGTGGAGCAGAACAAAACTCAAAAACTACCACATGATTAGTATCTCACTGTGGGTTTATTTCGCGTGTCTCTAATAACTAACAGTGCTGAGCATCTTTTAATATGCTTTTTTTTTTGGTACTAGGGATCAAACTCGGGTCCTTGCTCTTGTGCAGCAGGCAGCAAAACCACTGAGCTAAATCCCCGGCCCTAATATGCTTTTTTAAAAAAATCATCTGTATGTTTTCTTTAGTGAAATGTCCATTCAAGTCTTGCCCATTTTCCAAAGTCGAGCTTTTCATTTTCCTATCATTGCATTCTGATAGATCTTTATATGTTCTGGATACAGATCCTTTATCAAGGGCTGGGGATTTAGCTCAGTGGTTTCACCACCTGCTGTGCAAGCACAAGGACCCGAGTTCAATCCCCAGTACCAAAAAAAGAACAGATCTGTTATCAAATATGTGATTTGCAAATATTTTCTCCTGATCTATGGCTTGTTTTTTTATTCTCTCAACAGTGCCTTTCAAAGAGCAGAAGTTACTAATTTTTATTAAATCCAATTCATCAGTTTTTTCTTTAATAGAAAAATACATGCTGTCAGTATCATACCTAAGAAATCTGTGCCTAACTCAAGTTTACAAACATTTTATCCTATATTTTCTTCCAGTAGTTGGTTTTAGGCTTTACATTTAGTTCTGTGATCCATTTGGAGTTTAAGTTTGTATATGGCATGAAAGACATGGATACAAGTTCATTTTTTTTCTTTTTTGCATGTGAATATTCACTTCTCCCAGCACTACTTTGATGAAAAGGCTATTATATCAGCTATCTAAGGCTGTGTAACAAATTGCACCAAGATTCAATGGATTTTGTGTGTGTGTGTATGCTAGGGATTAAACCTAGGGCTGCCTGTGAAGTAGGTAAGTGCTCTACTACTCAGCTGTACCCTCAGCCCAATGTAGTATGTATGTATGTTTGTGTATGTACATATGTATGTATGTATTAGGGGGTTGAGACAGGGTCTTGCTATGTAGTTCAGGTTGGCTTGAACTCACTGTGCCGTCTAGGCTGGTCTCGAAATCACAGTGATCCTCCTGACTCACCCTCCTGAGTACTGGGGTTACAGATGTGTGCCACCATGCCCAGCCCAATGTAGTATTTAAAACATAAAACAAAAAGTATTTTTTATCTCATATCTCAGTAATGCTCTTTTCTTTTTTTTCTTCTGTTTCATTTTGTTTTCTATTGTCTTTGTGTTCAGTTTCACTGATCTTTTCTTCTGTAATGTGTGATCTGCTATTAATTTCCTCCAGTATATTTTAAATCTCTGATTGTCATTTCATCTCCTGAAGTTCAGGTCTTTTTTTTTTTATAAACTTCCAGGCTCTACTTAATGTTTTTGAACATATAAAATACAGTTAAATTAGCTCTCTTAATATCTTTTCCTGCTAATTCTCACATGTTTGTTGGATTTCAAATTTCAATTAATTCTTTTCTTCATTATAGGCCATGTTTTTCTGTCCCTTTACATTCCTGTTACCTTTGGGTGCAAGACATTGTTATGAATTTTACCTTGTTAAATGCTGCATATTTTTGTATTTCTATAAATCTTCTTGACCTTTGCTCCTGGATGCAGTTAAGTGAGTAGGCAACAGTTTGATCTTTGGAGGCTTGATCTGTCAGGGAGGGTCTGGGGCTGAGCTTAGCTAGGATGCCCTTCCGAGTTCTGGCCCCAGTGTCCCACAAGTGATGTTTTTCCAGCCTAGTGGCACTGTCCCAGGCAGTGTGTAAGCATCTGTCTCTGTCTCTTTAATGCTTTGGACATCTCTCTTTTTCCAGCCTTCGCCGCTTTCCTCACAAGCATGTGCTGACGAATCTTCTGCTGAACACTCGGGGCACCTGTGCGCATCTCCCAGCTTCTCTCTGAGCAGCTCCCTCCTACTGCTGCTGTCTTGCAGACTCTCTCAGTCTGGCGTCCCTTCCCAGCTGTCAGCTTGGTCACCACAGCTTGGGAAGTTGCCTGGCTGCGCTTCCGGTCCCCGCCTGTGCCCTGTGACCTGTGAATTCTCTCCTGCAGTCAGCCCGACAACCAGAAAAAAGTCTGTTTCATTTGGCCTTTTTTAGGCAGGAGGATAAATCTGTTACTCTTTTACCTGTAACATACTTTTGACTAATTTCCAAGTGTTTTCAAATAAACTTTGATGTCTTTTTTATGTTATTTTTCTCCATTCTGATCTGACATTTTAATAAAAATACCATTTGAGTACAGACTTTGGGATCTGACTGCCTTCATTAGAGACTTGGCTTTCTCTTTTTGATGAGAAAATCTTTTTGTTTTTTAATTTTTTCTCTTCAAAAATTTTTTAAAATTTGGTTTTGAGTAGGAAATCGTAGTCATTTAATTTCTGTGCGACATGGGCTGAGAGTATAGTCATCCTTACGGTCAGTGTGAAAACCAGGAGACTGTCTGGAGGCCCCGCGGACTGTGGGCCCATAGCGATGTCCAGAAGATCTCTGTGGTTCCCAGGGCAGCCTTGGACGTCCCGGATGTGCTGTCTCCCGGTCTCAGGGCGCTGTTTCTGTTCCCAGGTCGGCGCTTGCCGCGGCCATTTTGGCGACGACGCTGACTGGAAGGACCGTCGCCATCCCCCAGCCTCGCCAGAGGTCGCGGTCTGAGAGTGACGCTTCCTGCGCCGAGAAGGACAGCCTCATCGAACCCTACGCCACCGCCTCCCAGCCGCGGCTTCGGTAGGGACCGTGCCCCGTGTGCTTGTGTGTGCTCATGCACGAGTGTTCACGACTAGTGTTAGTCCTTCAGTTTTTATCACTAGCGTTAAAGGGACGCTGTTCAGGGACATTAATTGCTTTGATCAAAATTTTCTTCATAGTTGGGAGGCTGAGGCAGGAGGATGGAGGCTAGTTTGAGGCCAGCCTGGGCAACAGAAGTGAGTTTGAGGCCAACCTGTCTCAAACAAACAAAAAACAGAACAAACAAAAAAAACCCAAAAAACAAAAATAAAATTCTCCAGGGTAGATCTTGCTAAATGATGACACACTGGTCCTTTTCTTTTTTGTTTTTTTGGGGGTTTTTTTTGTTGTTGTTACAGTACTGGAGATTGAACCCAAGGGCTTTTACACCTAGCTATATTACTACCCCACTCGCATTTTTAAAAAAGTTTGACACAAGGTCTTACTAAGTTGCTAAGTGCTTAAATGAGTTAAATTGTTCTGTTTTTTGTTTTCTGTTCTTGTTGTTGTTGTTTTGGTACGGGGCGGTGGGGGGGAATCGAACTCTTGTCCTTGTGCTTGCAAGGCAAGTAGCGGAACCACTGAACTAAGTCCCCAGCCCTAAATTGTTACTCTATTATATACTGTTACCTTTTTAGAAAGGGTTAATTTTAATATTCTTCAAAAAAAAAAACCAAGACAGATTGTATATGTATACAGTAATAAATAGAAAAAGAACAACCACAACTAGAAAGACAAGCGCGCAGAGCCCAGAGTGGTGGCGCATGTCTGTAATCTCAGCATTTTTGGAGGCTGAGGCAGGAGGATCACTGTGAGTTCAAGGCCAGCTTGGGCTACGTAGTGAGTTCAAGGCCAGCCAGGACTACATAGCAAGACCTTGTCTCAACATCCCCCCCCCCAAAGAAAGACCAAAAGGTGAGCTAGTGAGTGGTTTAATCTTGGAGCTTCTATATATTTTATACTGTAGTATAATACTGCTGTTATGGAGGCTTAGAGGGAATGCATTTAATACATGTGTTGATATTGAGCTAGACCTGGTGGTGAATGCCTGTAATCCCAGCACTCGAGAGGCTGAGCCAGGAGGACTGCAAGTTACAGCAATTTAGCAGCTTAGTGAGACCCTGTGTCAACAAAAATGGGTGAAAAGGATGTGAGGGAGTGCGCTAGGGATATGTCTCAGTGTGAAGGCCCTGGATTCAATCTCCAGTGTTGCAAAAAAGAAAAAAGAAAAAAAGTCAAGCATTAGGTCATTTGTTTATGTTCTTTAATATTCTAACACAGGCCAAGTTGGCAGAGTGGAGCAGGAAGGAGACATTCTTTATCATCCTTTGAAGCGCTAGGCTATGGGGAAGAAGATGATGCTGAAACACAGGAGTCGTCCAGTGAGGAGGAGACGGGGGATGGCAGCACCCAGAAGGAAAGAGGCGGCCACAGGGTTGCTGCGTACACCGTGCCACACAAAAGCCTGGTGAGCAGTGTCCCCTCGTCCCTGCCTCAGCACCCCCTCTATAAGAAATAGCACAGAGTGCTGAGGAAGTGCTTCCTTTCTCTCTTCTGCATTTCAAAGCTTTTGCTTTCAGGCTTTTTATCAATTAGTTGTTTGGTTGATTTATGTGTCCAGCCTCATTTCTGTCTAGTTAGGCTAACATTTAAGTTTCATTCCTTTATGTGGCAAAATCAAGGCCTTCAAAGACAAGTGTAAACGACTTTGTGTTCTTGATGAGGATTCATGTCAGAAGCTGGCTGGGGATTTAGCTCAGTGGCACCGTGCCTGCTTTGCAAGCGCAAGATCCTGAGTTCGATCCCTGATACCAAAAAACAAAACAACAACAACAAAAAACCCCTAGCAATCTGCTCTTTCCTTGGACTCCAAAAGCTAATTTTCCTATCACTTTTCAGTCTGCACATTGTAACCTTTCTTCAAACTCATGCCTAACTAGAGGAATATTGTCATGTGTCTCTTCTGTGTGTGTGTGTTAAAACTGAGTAGTCCAGACTGGCCTTGAACTCACGATGAAGCCCGTGCTGGCCTCACACCCATGAACACCCTCCTGCTTCAGCCTGTTGAGTGGCATGTGCCACCACACCCAGCTGCCATGTGTCTCTTAATAGTGCAGGTCTCTCTTCTGTTCCTTTAGCGTGGCTGACCACCCACTAACTCAGTGCTGTTTGTTACCCTGGTTCACATGCAGGATTTGATGTACAGGATTCGAAAGGGCCACATGTCTCCAGGGCCAGCTGGGTTTTTTTCTCCAACTTTCTTTTGCTTGATATTTTCATGGTCAATATTTTTCTGTCCTTTAATTTCAACCTTTGTATGTCCTATGTTTAAATGTGTCTTGTCGACAGCATATTGTTTTTAAAAACAAGTTTAATGACATATAATTTACATACCATGTGATTCAGGCATTTAAATGAAGTGTACAGTTCAATGCCACATATAGTTTTTGTTAACTCAGTTTGGCAATCTTTGGCTTTGTCTTTTAACCAGATGATTTAATCTTTTTATAATATAGTGTAGTATTTTATAATATTTTATATATTATTTTTATAATATAATATGTACATATATATACATGTGTCTGAATTTAGATTGGCTATCTTATTTTATTTTTGCTCAGGATCAAACCCAGGGCCTTCCTTACCCATGCTAGGCTAGTGTCCTACCACTAAGCTACACCCTCTGCTCTCCTTTCTTTCTTTGGATTGACATTATTTCAGTTGTTCTATGACTTTGGAAGTGATACTGTTTTTACTTCAGCGGTCTCCCTAGAGATGACGGTGTGTGTGTCCTTTGCTCTTTCCAGTCTAAGTTAGTGTCAGACCCAGGAAGAGGACGAAGAGGTTTGGGACAAGAGCCACAGGCCATGAGTGAAAGGCGCTGTTGGGTTCTTGTCAGCCCTGAGGCAGGGTGGGCCTGCGGCTTCCTTCCCTTCTTCAGCACCCAAGCAAGTTTTGTTTTAGTTACCGAAGGGAATTATCACACTCAGAAATATTGGGGAGTTCTTAAAAAAAATGCTCAAAGGTAAGCCTTTTAGAATATGTTTGTAGAATAGTATCACAAGTTCTTTATAAGAGTATGTTTTTAATAAAATTGATATATTAAATATACATAAAAAGTACAGGAATCACAAGTGTACAACTCCACACACTCTTTTACAAAATAGCCACCATGAGATTTTTCTAAAAAAATGAAAAAGGGGTTGGAGATGTAGCTCAGTGGTAGAATGCCTGCTTAGCAGGCAGGCGGCCCTGGCCTCAACCCTCAGCACCACATATACACAAAACAGAAATTCAGAAGAACATAGCTGAGCTGGACGCGGTCGTGCACATAGCTGTAATCCCAGCGCTCAAGAGGTGGAGGCGAGAGAATTGCCGTAAGTTCACAGCCAGCCTGGGCTACATGCTGAGTTCAAGGTGAGCCTGAACTACAAAATGAGACCCTGTCTCAAGACAAATGAGCATAACCAGCATCCCAGGATTCTAGAAGTCCCCCTTCCCCGTTACCGTTCCCCCCCAGATTTCACCATTGTCCTAGCTCCAAAATTAGATTAGATCTTTAAAAGTTATGTGAATTAGGGCTCAGAGTTTTGCCAACTCTGAAAGTTACATGAGTTTAACCATGCAGTACATATTTTTTGGAGTTTTTAAGTCTTCAGTTATTGTGTGTAGCAGCAGTTGTTTCATTCTTATTGATATATAGCATTGCATTGTATAACCAGCTGGTCAGTCATTTATCCACTTAACTGGTTTGGTTGTTTCCAGTTTGGGGCTCTTGGGCATAGTGTTGCTATGACCTTTTGCAGATGTGTCCTTGGACACACACGTGTCTATACTTGTGGTGAGTGAAAGACCCGAAGAGTGGGAATACATGATCGTAGGCATTGATCAGGCATAGTGCTAGTGGATGTTGCCAGACAGTTTGCCACGTCGGGTGTCTTTATGATGCTGTTTGCATGCTCTTACCATTTTCACAGTTCCTTGATCCTAATGGATAGCTTAGTTATCTTGGGGAGGTTTGGTCCTGGGAGGTGAAAAGCAAGAGGTGTGCCAAGTTGGTGACTTATGCCTGGAATCCCAGCTCTTCAGGATCTGAGGCAGGAGGATCACAACTTTGAGGCCACCCTGGGCAACTCAGTGACTCTGTCTCAAAATAAAATAAAAAGGGCTGGTGATGTAGCTCAGTGGTAGACCACTGCCTACCATGTGGAAGGCCCTATGTTTAGTTCCCAGCTGCAGCCCCCTCCTGCCACAAAAGCAAGAAGTCCTTTCTCTTTTTCCTTCAAATGATGAGTAGGTTGGGAGACCCAGCTACTCCTTCCCCTGAACCAGGTCACCTGAGAGCCATGTGCACAAAGCCTGTGAACCCAGCAGCCTCAGCTCTCAGCTCTGAAGTGCCCCTTCTTAAGGGTATCTTGGGGGCGGTTGCCACCACTTCCCTGCCAGCCTTCAGCACAGCCAGCTGCCAAGCTGACCACAGCAGGAGTTTACTGCAGAATCTGGGTAGCAGAAGGGCAGCCAACCTGGAGAGCACTGGGCCAGTTTATCCTGCGGGACTTGCTTCTGACTCTTCTCCTTGGGCAGCCCCTGTCCCTATTCCCCAGATCCCTGCCCGTGGGAATGCCCCTTCCTCGGCAGGGGAAGTTCTGTTCCTTGCACAGCCTCTAAGGGACAGCTCTGTGGCCCTGCCACCTTTGATACCCACATAGGTGCTCATCATGGCAGTGGAGGGGAGAGTTCCATTCCAACAGTGGAATCAGGTCAGCAACCATGGAGGGCCTGGGTCCTAACTGTTGCCTGGATGACAGTTCTCCAGGCAGGTCAGCAGTTCTTGTCCCATGGGGAAATGAGTATCAGTTAGGTGGTGGGATGGGGAAGGGGACCATCCCCAGGGCCTGGGTGGGATATCCAGCTCCACAGCTATGTGTCATATGGATTGTCTCTGTCCCCTAGGCTTCTCCTGAGGGGTCAGAGGTGTCACTGGGACCCAGGGGTAGCCCTTAGATCTCACTAAGGAAAGCAGCATAGCATGGGTGCTTCAGTATGAAATAAGATGTTCTGGTTTGTTAGGGGACATATTATGCAAGTAACACTTATCCCATGTTTGTCCCTTAATCTTTTGTAACAAAAAGGTGCCATTGTCACATGAAGTGGACAGAGGAGATGATGAAAATATTTCTGAGCAAGATGGGTTTCCAGGCTCGTCATCTCTTATACCTCCACCTACGCAACAAAAAGGTAAAAAAGAACAAAACCCAAAATTCTTATGAGCATATAGGATACCAATATTGGTGCTATTGCACCTCCATACTGTGCTTCCGGGTTCTTACCTAGGAATATACTTAAGATTTATTTTCACTGGATATTAGGTTGCCTTTGACATAGAAGGTGCCGGCCCTGGGCTGTGAGAGGACAGATGGGGCAGAGTGTCCTACCAGACTGTGACTTCTGTCTCCTGCTCCCCGGGGGTGCACAGGTGAGGTCACCTGTGTGGCCCAGCCCCATCCCTGCCCCCGTGCCCCCTTCCCCACCCAGGACCTGGAGCAGGGCCTGGCTACTTGGGCCGGCAGTGAAAGTTTGCTGAATGTATGAGCACATGGATGCGTTTCAGATACGATTCTGGAAGTGCATGTCAGCTGTTTTTATACAGCATGTGTCATGCTGCACAATGAGAGCATTCGGTGTATTATAGCAAAGGTTGGGATAGTTTTGAGGTTCCTAAGAAGTGGGTTATGTTTGGAAGTGAAGAGGGGAGCTGGCATACAGCAGGCCACCAGTGACTGCTTCATCAGGATCCTCACAGCTGCCTGGGCTTGGGACACTTTTGTGGAAATCAGTTTACAAGGTGCTTGAGGGGGAACAATGCTAGCATAGTAGTACCTGTTCTACTACCAGAGAATAAAACTGGTAGGTGAGTAAAACCAGAGAGGAAGAGAGTAAAACTGTTCTTCCTTAGTGTCTTAAGTTACTTTTCTCATTCCTGAGACAAAATACCTGACACCCAGAATTAAAGGAGAAAAGGTTTATTTAGCTCATAGTTTGCAGAGGCTTCAGTCCATAGTCAGCTGGCTCCAAGGCAGAGTGGCATGGCAGAGGGGCATCACAGAAGAGAAACAGTCCATGGAAGGCAGAAGGCAGCAAAAGCAGCAAGTGATGGCAGCAGCCTTCTTTCTGTCCCTTATATTCTATCCAGGCTACCTGCACTCATACCCAGAGTGGGGCAGCCTTAATCCTAGCATCACACTGAATCAGTGCCAGCATTGTATCCTTAATCCCAGCATCACATTCTGAAAAGCCCCACTTATGACTGCACGAGGCTTTGGGGGGACATCTAGACACAAGCTGTAACATAGTTAGCATATATACCATGTATAGATATATGTGTGTGCATGTGTGTGTGTATTTTTCTGATACAAGGTCTTGCCACATTGCTCAGGCTGACCCTGAACTCCTGGACTCAGTAATCCTCTTGCATCAGCCTGCTGAGTAGCTGGAATTAAAGGTGTGTGCCACTTCATCTGCCTATGCATATTTTAAAATATTGACTAGCATTAATAAATATTAAATTCACATAAAAAGCATATTTTAAATGATAGAAATAGGGTTTTTTTCACTGTTTATAAAAAGGCAAGTCTGATAATCACAGCTACTCAGGAGGCTGAAGCAGGAGGCTCTCAAGTTCAAGGCCAGCTTGGGCAGCTGAGCAAAATAAAAAGGGCTGAAGATGTAGCTCAGTGAGCAGGCCTGGGTTCCACTTCCAATACCGGGGTGGGGGAAATGCCCAGTACGGAAATGTATAGAACTAAACACACGTAATTGTGGACCTTAGGATAATTACTTTAAACCCTTTATGGTGTATACATATTTATAAAATGCACACCATTTCCTTACCTGCCTTTTCATCTCACAAGGGCCCCTGAATAACTTCCCCAGTCTGTCCATGTGGCTCTCTCTGCCCTTTCTAACATCTGTGTTGTGTGGCTTGGGTCACATACCAGCCAGGATCCAGTCAGGAGATGGAGCCCATGGCGTGATTTGAGCAGAGAAGGAGGGAGGGAGATTCGTTTGACAGGATTGCCTGCTGAGGGGTAAAGAGCGCTGCAGAAGGATGCCAGTAGCCCTTCAGGGAGCAGCCACACTGTTTTTGAGGAAATGGTTGCCCTGCCCCAGAGCTGAGGCCTGGCGGGAGAGGGCGTGGGCTGGGGATTGGAGGGTAACTCAGGTGAGGCTCTCCGGGGCAGGATGCACCTGGCTGCCCCACCCGCCCAAATGGAGGAAGTGAAGCCGTGGGAGGGAAGACACCCCCCCCCCCGTCTCTCCTGCGCCCTCTACTGACAGAGTTCAGTATGGTGCCAACTGCAGGGTGGGAATGAGAACAGGGAGCTGGAGACTGATCGTGTTCACACCAGGAAACCTCAGTTTGGGGCACAAGTGCTGGTCGGGGGATTGCAGCTCCCACAGTTTTTGGCCAAAGGTAAGCTCTCTGGTGATGAATTGTTCAAGTATTGGTAATTTTAATGAACTAGACGTGGATTTGGAATCTTCTATGTATCTTTAAGCATGTTTGTTGGTGTTTTGAATTCTGGGGGCATTAAACATTTTTTTCCTGCAAATTTACAACTTCTTTTCTTTCTGAGATAGGGTCTCACAATGTAGTTCAGGCTGTCCTTGAATTCACTATGTAGTTCTTATTTTCAGTTATTTATACTCTGTGCGTCAGTAGTGGAACTCTAGAAGCAACCTAGATGTCCAACTTTTCATGGTAGCAAAGTGTTAATTAAGGTCAGCCCCTCCTGGGGGCCTGGGATCCCAGTCCTCCGAAGGTGAGGACCTGGCGGGCTTTGTTTCCAGTTGCATCACTCAGGCAGTTTTCCTCAAGCAATGGCTATTTTTCTGACCAAGGAAGGGGGGCGCTACTTGTAGACAGGGTGGGCGGGAAGGAGTCAGCCTTGGCCCCCACGGCGAGGAAGGGAGGAGGTTGTGGGGGCTGGAGAGGTGGGGAGGAGCCAGCAGGGAAGGGTGGCTGGGAGGGGCTTGGGTCTGCGATCCTTGGAGCCCATGACAGTGCTCAGGAGAAAGCACGGCAGATGGAGATGAGCAGCTGAAAGTCAGGTGCCCTGCCTTGGCCTGGGACCTACTTGCTGTGCGGCAGTGCAAAATCCCGACCCTGTCTAGAGCCTTGCTCGGGTCATCTGTGGGAGGTGAGTTTGTATGATTGCACGCTCCTGACTTGTCAAATTTCTTATCTACTTTTAAAGAGGCTTTTTTTCTTTTTTTTTATCAGATGATAAATACTCTGTTCTGAATTTAAAGGTAAGCTCATATTTGGAAAAAACCCATATTCTCAATAAATCGAATTTCCTCTATAATTTTAAAATAGTCTTGTTATTTGTAGTGGAAAAAAAATCATCCCATAATAGTTCTTTCCTAAAGCTAAAATAAACTGAGAACCACAAGAACCAAAGTGCAGTGGGAAAGTGTGCTTGTACCCCTGGTGTCTACTGCCCTGGGCTCTGCCTGCCCACGCTCAGAAGCTGCTCACACCCCGAGCTCACTCCATACTGTTTCTTCCCTAGGGTGAAAGAACTCTGTTATGTGAGAAGCCGCCTCCCTCCCCAGGTATTTGCCTTTTGAGTTCCTTACGTGTGAAAAGCTTATCGTTTTAGTGAATGCACAGAACAGCCTCACTGGAAGTAAAGTTTAGGTTTCTTTTCCTTAGAAAGCATGTTGCTTCTGCCCCATCATTGGACTTGGAAAGAGGTTTTTTTTTCCTGTTGAACTCCTACCTTTGCCTCTGGAAAGAAGGTCCAAACACCAGATGTCTTAGTTACTTTCCTCAGGCTGGAACAAAATGCCTGACCCCAGCAATTTGAAGGAGGAGAGGTTTATTTTGGCTCAGGCTTCAGTCCCGAATTGGGTGGCTCCAGCATCACAGAGGGGCGTGGCCAGGACAGAGGGGCATGGCTGACTGGTAGGAGTGAGCTAGAGGAAGAGCCAAAGAGGGAGCTAAGCCCTTCCAGGCCACTCCCCTAGTGACCCACCTCTCTGAACAGCACATTTAGCTATAAACTCATCAGTGACTAATCTACCTATCCCTATAACACCCACAAAATTCAGTCATCTCACTGCAGCCCCACCTCTGCTTAGTGAGTCTTCAGAGGAAGTCTAGATATAAACCATAACACTGCGTGGTGGGCACACCTCTATGTGACATGCACTCAGGTCCTGGGGTGGGGTGCAGCGAGGGGCATGCTTAGGCCCTGAGGAGTTGGTGTATGCAAATGAGGGCTCTGCTCTGGGGCTGATACTTTATGAGGTGCATTACTTGCGCAGTTTGGTGTGCTACAGTAGCTTTTAAGGTGGATTTTGTGATTATAGGCTGGTATGACTTGCATTAGTAGTCTGAAAATCCAGTTTTTATCTGTCCTTTGTGTTCGGTTGACTCTTTTTTGTCTTGGGGCTATTGCTATTGTGTTCTGGGAGGGTGCTAGGATTCTAACTTCTAGCCCACTTTGTAAGTATTATGTTCAGCCCATCCTTTAAATTTTTGTTACTAATGAAAATGATTTCTGTGTGAGGATGGGGATTTAGCTCAGTGGTTCCACCGCCTGCCTGGAAAGAGCAAGGCCCCAAGTTCGATCCCCAGTACCAAAAAAAAAAAAATGATTTCTGTGAAATACTAACATCCGAACATTTTTTTTCTTGCCATACTGGGGTTTTATCCCAGGGCCTTTGCACCAAGCTACATTTCATTCTATTTTTTATTTTTTGTTTTGAGACAAGGTCTAAGTTTCCTAGGCTGGGCTCGAACCTGAGCTCTTTCTGCCTCAGCCTCACAGAATGCTGGGATTATAGGCCTGTGCCACCATGCCTGGCTTCTTCTGAGAACCTATTGTATATTTATCCAGTTCTGTATCTATGCTGCACTCCCTCCCCACACCCATTCTCTGTCATTTGACTTCAGTGCATCTCGTGGCTGAGATACTTGATGGTTTTCTTGTTGGTGTGCTTGTATTGGTCCTTGAGAGTCTGTTGGCTTATCTGGAAATGCTGTGACCCTACTTAGGCTGCTTGAACAGAAGAAACCCGAGAGTCTGTAGCCATATAGCCTGTTTCCATTGACTGGTGGGACAGGCAGGACATATGACCAGCCAGCAGGTGCAGAAGCTGTCTTTTTCCTGCAGCACCCTGCTCTGCTCTGCCTGTCTAATGTCTTTGCCCTTGCTGCTTGGCCCAGTCGTTGATTGCTTGCTTCTTGCACCCTAGGGCTCTAACTGGACCCCACATCAGCTCTTTCCTGGCCACTTTGCCTCACTCCCTCTGTCTTAGTTACTTTTTCATTTCTGGGACAAAATACCCAACACCCACAATTAAAGGAGGAAAGGTTTATTTCAGCTCACAGTTTGTAGAGGTTTTAGTTTAATTGATTGGCTCCAAGGGAGGGCAGCATGACAGAGCATCATGGCAGAAGAAAAACAGTTCATGGCAGGGTAGGCAGGAGGCAGTGAGCCTACCTTCCATCTTTCCATTCATGTTCTACCCAGGCTACAAGCCTATTGGTTGGTGTTATCCACACCCAGGGTGGGCCTTCCCATAATCCACACCCAGGACTACACTAAACCAGTCAGTGGACTAATCCAGTTATCATGCGCCTTTAATCCAATATCACACACCCGTGATCCAGCCACCTTCCAAAAGCCCTTAAGCACATGAGGCTTTGGGGGGACATCTAAATATAAGCCATGACACACTTCTATTGGTGTCCTCTCCCAGCACAAGTTAGCTATGACTTCTGTCTTCGGTCTAACCTCAACTACACTGTACTTTAACCCTGGGATTTCTCTTGTGCTTCAGTCCTGTGTTCAGTGTAACTATGGAGTCCTCCGTTTCTCAGCCTTTCCTCCAGTGGCCTGCAGGATGAAACCTCCTCTCTGCATTATAAAGCTCCAGGGCCTCCCCTGGCCCCACCCCCTCTCTGTCACCTCTCTTCCTGCCACCCACCATGGTCTCTGCAGACCGTAGGCAGTGGTGGTGAACCTATGGGACGTGTGCCTCAGTGGGCCGTTTGTTATCATTGAAAGCTCTAGAAGATTTGCCATCCCTGTTCTAGGGACTGCACATGTGTGTCAGGGGCAGGGTGGCCCTCCTGCCCTGTCCACCTGCAGAAGCGCGGCCTCTGTCTGCTCCTCCACTGGGAGCCTGTCCTGGCCAGGGGCCCGCTGTGGTTCTCAGCTCCTTTGATCTTGAGCACAACTTGCCCTTGGAACACTCTTCTCCTCTAACAATTCTTGCTGTTCCTTCCTGAAACCCTTTGTCACCTCCTCTGTCTGGTGGCTCTCCAGTCTGTCCTAATGAAGCTGCCTTCCCAGCTCTGGGCCATCTCCTGACCTAAGTTCACTTTCCCTCCTGCTGGAGTCTCACACCTGCTCTCTTGTCCCTTGTCTAGGTCACTGTCTCCACAGAATTACAGTAGATGCATGTAATGAACTCAGTTGGCTTTATTTGTGATTCCAGCATCAGGCAACACTTGAATGAAACAATAAACTTTCCACTGACATGAGCAATAGAGGTTGGCTTTCTACACAGAGAAGGACAGGGCAAAGAAAGAGAAACAAAGAACAAAAGAGAATTGGAAGCTGGGCGAGATGACACACATCTGAAATCCCAGCACTCTGAGAGGCTGAGTCAGGAGGGTTCCAAATTGCCCAGCCTGGGCAGTTTAGCAAGACCTTATCTCAAAAATAAAAATTAAAATAAGAAAGGCCTGGGGGATTACCAGGCATGGTAGTATACACCTGTAATCCCAGCACTCTGGAGGCTGAGGTGAGAGGATTACCTCGAGTTCCAGGCCACCCAGGGCTACATAGTTCAAGGCCAGCCCGAACTACATAGTGAGACTCTGTCTCGAAAAACAAAACAAAACCCCAAAATGGGGATGTAGCTCAGTATGACAGGCCTCTGTTCAATCACAATTACCCCACCCACAATGACCCCATTGGTCATTTCAATTTCTTTCCTTGTAAATTGGGCTTAGGGAGACAGAACAGTACAAAAATAGCTGGCTGGTTAATATCAGGTTACTTTGTTTGTTTGTTTGTTTGTTTGTTTGTTTTAAGGGTTAAAGCTGAAGGAAGTTTATCATCCTGGTCGATTGAAACTGGCCTGTTTGAGAAATTTGGTTATCTCTCTCTCCTGAGGTCAGATAACAGCTTAGTTGATAACAGTGCAGTACTGGACTTGGGACTTTAGTATGAGTGACACTACTGTGATTTTTAGTCTGATCTCTTGGGGCCTACTATAGGACCTTAGTCCCAAACAATAGCCTCTTGTAGTTTTGGTTTAACAAACTCATCCTTGATTTCCCTGCCTCACTGCCCAAACCCAGTGAGCCACTGAGACCTGTTGGGTTTCGGCCTCTGAATCCTGCTGTCGCTGTCCCCTCCTCCCTGCCCTACTCTAGTGCTGCCCTTTAATCTCCCTTTGGCTAGGCCTTGTTCCAGTCCATTGTCCACCCCGCTGGCCTCAGCTCCATTGAGAGTGGCACCACTTCCTTCTCACCCCTCTGTCCTGAAGAGTTTCTGGCTCCTGGTGGCCTGCAGGGTGGAAACTCCTCTGTGCATTGTCAAACCCCAGGGCCTCCTGATATAGGACCTCCAAATGATATAGGGGAAATATGACAATTCCCAACCTGCTAGGTGTCAGATATGCTGAGTTCATATTCCCCAAAATCGAAGAATGAGTTCTAAGGAACAATGGAGGTCAAGAGTAAGAAATATTTATTGAGAGATATAACTCCTGAGAGGCAGGAGGGGGCCCAAGAGGGTTGCCCATGAGCCCACTTCTCAAAGGAAGTTTTACAGAGCAAAATCATGAAGTGAGTACAAAATCATGAGATGGGTACAATAGGGGACAATATCATGACCAATAAGACTACAAGTATAGTCACTTAGGTAAAATTGATCCAGTGGGGAAGCAGGTCATGTAGCAAGTGTGCATGAAAAGAACAAAGACCTTTTCTGGAAGAGATGAATTAGAAGGTACTAGACACCCACCCTGGTGACTGATGCCTATGTAGAATATCAGACATAGTATTTTTGTTTATCCCTCCAGGAGGTATGTAGGTCTAGTCATTCCATCTTTATCTTGAGGCCTGGCTTTCAGTGAATCCCACAGTTGTAACCTATTCTTATCTTCTGCAGATTTCCTTGAGGGCCTATCCCTGCCCGACTGCCTATAATATTTCTACTTAACTTAGCTGTCTACAATATTCCTCTGGCCCGCCTCCCCTCTGTCACCTCTCTTGCTGCCACCCATCATGGCCTCCCCAGACCACAGGCCTCTTCCTGCATGGCCATTCCCTTTCAGGGACCAAGGACACAGCACTAGGCCTGATGTGAAGTAGTTGCTCACATGGATTTGGAAATAAAGTCTCATGTTCTTTTGATGTAAAATGGTAAACATCAATACTTGCAAGCTTTTCCCTTTTACTTTTTCAGATGTAACTGGCAGAATACGTCAGAGATGTATAGAAATAACCAAAGAAAAGTTTGAGGAGTTAAAAGAAGACAATTTGCACCTACACAATGCAAATCAAGCTCTTATACTTGAACTAAATGTAATAAAACAAGCAATGAAAAAATTACAGTTAAAACTTAAAAGGATGGGAAAAGACAACGGAAGGCTGAAAGAGGTTGAGAAAGCATCCTCTCAGGAAGGTGGGGGTGAGTACCCAGTTCTTTTATTAAAGGGCTGAACTGACTTCACACACTTTATTATTTATTTTGAGAGTCAATATTTTATGTTGTATATTTATTGCTATTTTGTTTTGTTGGATTTTTTGGTTCTTTTTTATGTGGATATTTTATCTCATAAATTTTCTCATTCATAAATTTGCCTACTTTAAGTTGAAGGACTTTTCTCTTTTTCTTGACTTGTCAGAAGTCTTTATGTGTTAAGGATTTTAGCCCTTTGTCTTGTATATATTTCCTTAGTTTGTTGATAATTTAATTCAATCTCTAGAATATTTTCCCTTGGCATCAAGTCCTTTACTTAAGGTTGTATAAATATTCACTAATATTTTTTATATTTTTTCATATTTATATAACATGACCATAAATGGCTGTAAGTCAAGTGGTTTGGTTTTTTGCAAACAGAACCTGCATATTTCTTGTCTTAGGCACATTTATTTTTGGATACTTCATTTGTGCTGTTTCTATGTGGGACTTATTTTCCATTGTATTTTCTAATAGTGGATTGCTATTATGTGAAAAGTTATGTTTTAACAAATTTTCCATTTATGCAATTTTGTTTGTACTGGAAATATTCTGTGTAATTTTCAAGACACAAATATATCATCTGAAATGACTATTTCTTTCCAGCTTAGAAAGTTATTATTTAGAAACTTATTATTTTGCATTATTGTACCCACAAAAACATCCATAAACTTCCAAAACAATGTTGACTGTTTTGTGTTAAAAAACTTGGTAACTTTTCATTATTTATTCTGTAGATACATAAAATTCACTACCTGATCACCGTATGTAAAATCTTGATAAGTTTGATGGAATTTATTATAGCATAATGTTACATTAATTTTTCTTTCAGGAGTTGCTGTACCTGAATTACTTTATCTGAGGAAACAAGCCCAAGAGCTGGTGGATGAGAATGATGGCTTGAAAATGACCGTCCATCGTTTGAATGTAGAACTGAGTCGCTACCAAACAAAATTTAGGCATTTGTCCGAGGAAGAGGTAATGTTCCTAATTACAAAAGATCAGATTTTTTTCTAGCCTTTACCGTTGAATTGATTTCTGATTCCAATGGGTTCTTATAATTTAGTAATAAAATGTATTCAAAGCATATTCTTTCTAAAGACTGTCCCTCTTTCCCTCCCTTCTCCTTCATCAAGGCAATAAAGACCCTTGGTAAAATATTGGGACAGGATAGAGGGATGCAGAGTGCAGGGGCTGAGAGTGTGGCCCAGTGGTGGAGCACCATCCTGTCGTACATGAGGCTCTGAGTTCCAGCCCTCACACTACAAAACAATGAAGAGAAAAGTTGAAGCTCAATTTGAAATGCAACCCTCTCCTGGATCCCTGATTGGGAAAGGACATTAGTGGGAAAATAAACAAAATTGAAGATAGTCTGTTTGAAAGTAAAATTGTATCAGTTTTGATTTCCTTCTTTTTATATTGGTACTGTTGTTGGATATATGAATGTTTTTGTTTTCAGAAAGTATACACTGAAGTATATAGAGGAAAAGGGGCATTACTCCTAAATCATTTCAGAAAGAATGTTTCTTATACACACACACACACACACACACACACACACGCACATGCACATGCACACACAGATGGGTGATGTCTGGTCTAGTTTAAGAATATCTAAGACACATATGCTTGTAACCCCAGCTTCTCTTGAGGCTGAGGCAGGAGAATCTTGAGTTTGAGGCCAGCTAGGGCAACTTATCAAGACCCAGTCTCAGAATGCTCTGGGGATGTAGCCCAGTGCACAGGCTGTGGGTTGAATCCTTAGTATCCCCACCACAAGCTGCCTCCCCTAAAAGACTATCTAAGACTCACTATTTGAGAGGAAGTATAGTTTATTTTGTCTTTAATATGTGTTTTTTCTTAGAGTTTACATATTGAAGGCCTCCCATCAAAGGGCCCTATACCACCCTGGTTGGTAAGTGAGAGTTATTTAATTTCAGGCCCCTATTTTCTCAGCTCTGTTTGTGTAGCTACTAAGAATCATTCCGAAATAAGTGAGTTTTTGCCTTTTTAAAAATTTGCTGATTACATTTCAATGTAGGAAATACATTAACCATCTTTTACTGCACTGCATCTTTCACTGTAATCTTCAGTTGGATGTAAAGTACCTTTCCCCATTGCTGCTGGCTTATGAAGACAGAATGAAAGAGAAGGACGAACTCAATGCCACCCTTGAGGTAGGTTGGCAGATGTCTCAGGACAAACAAGATGGATAAGCCTGTTTCAAACTTTGCAGAAAGGTTTTGAAGGTAAGTATGCTCAACACATGGCAGATACTCTCCTGTTTATTAAAGGAAGGAAGAGGTATGTCGGGGCAGGGTTGGGGAGAAGGGAGGAAGGAAGGGAGTAATTGGCAGAGAGAAGGTAGTAGGGGGAGAGGGAGTGGTGTGGAGGGAAGGGTGCTGCTTCCTTGGGAGGGAGCCGTTGATTCCTAGACAACCCCACGTAGGCTGGGACAGTGGGGTACAGAGAAGGTGGCAGAGGGGAGGCACTGCTCTCCTGGACTCCACAGGTACAAACACCATCGTTAGGAGGGACTTTTGAGGCCAGCCCGATCAACTTGGTACAATCCTGTCTCAAAATAAAAAATACAAAGGGCTGGGGATGTAGCTCAGTGTTAAAACCCCCCTGGGTTTGAGCCCTAGTACTCCCCCCTCCCCCGCAATCAATCTTAATAATAAAATTACTATTTTGGTGCTTTTGCGGGGGCGGGTACCGGGGGTTGAACCTAGGGCCTTCACAGTGAGCTATATCCCTAACCCTTTACATTTTAAATTTTGAGACAGGGTCTCACTAAGTCTCTAAGTTGCCCAGGCTACGAAACTCAGTCCTTTTGCCCCAGCTTCCCAGAGTGCTCGGATTACACCACCCCTGGCTATGTTAGTGCTATTTCTAAATCAAGGTCAGCCCACTTTTTCTGTAAAGGGCCAGTTAGTAAAATATTTCTGGCTTTGTGAGCCGTGTAGTTTCTGTTCTCTGCTATAGCATAAAAGTAGCCATAAACAACATGTAAACAAGGGGCAGGGCTCTGTTGCAATAAAAGTTTATTTACAAAGACAGGTGACTGGCATACCAGCTTTGGTTTGCCTGAATCTGTTCCAAAAACAGTCAAGTGAGCTGCCAGCAACTGGTGAGTTTGTCTGGGCAGCAGGTGAGAAGAAGGGAAGTTACTTGGCAACGCTGCTTGAGATAAACAGGTGTAGCAAAAATGTCTGATGGCTGGGGGAATATTGCAAAAACTCAAGTAAGTGTTGGCATCCAAGATTCTCACGAAAGGGCAGCACTGGATGCTGAAGCCAGCCAGCTGTTGGCTGAGAAGAACTGTGCTGGAAATGGGGACACAGATTATTATGAGTCAATCCCGCAGCAAGTCGCAGACTTCTCCTCGAGGGCTCAGGGCTGACAAAGGGTAGGGAGTGGTGTCTAAGCAGAGTGGCTCCTCCTCTTTGGCAAGGAGCAAGTGTCCCCCAGCCCCTGCACTCGTCCTTTCCCCGCCCAAATAGGCTTCCATTGAGGATGGAAAGTTCTTGTTTGTTACATAAAATCGTCACTTTATCCTCCAAAGTCTTTGAACAAAAACCGCAGTACTTATGGACATCTCTGCTTTCTTTTTAAAACACTAATTTCTGAAGTATTGGCTGTAACAAAAAAAGTTACCAAATTAGAATGGAATGATTACACTCAGGAGCTTTGTCCCTGTGCTCGGGTCCATGGCTGTCGTCTCCAGGGATCTCCTGTGGGCAGGTGCGGGGCACCAGCACCGAGTGCAAGGTCGGTGTGAGGCCGAGACTGCCGCCAGCAGCTGACATTGGATTTGAGCCCAGCGACATCACTAGAGCTGAGATCTAGAGCTGTATGTGGATGCCCGTGTTATAGTTTACATCAATTTTGTTTCAGGAGGAAATGAGAATGTTTAGGATACGAGTCCAAGAAGTGGTGAAAGAAAATGAAGAATTGCACCAGGAATTAAATAAGAGTAGTCCTGTTACCAGAGAGGAATGGCAAGTGGTGTTGTGTTTCTGATATTCTGCTAATTTGAAATACAAGATACTAGGAACAGACTTTAACATATCATGAAATACTTTGTGTGTGTGTGTGTGTGTGTGTGTGAGAGAGAGAGAGAGAGAGAGAGAGAGAGAGAGACTGGGAATTAAACCGAGGGTCTTTGCACTGAGGTACATCCCCAGCCCTTTTTAAATTTAGGTTTTTTATTTTGAAACATGGTCTCCCTATGCTACCTATGCTGGGCTCAAACTAGTGATTCTTCTGTCTCAGCCTCCCAGAGTGGTAAGATTACAAGCTTGCCCCACCACCACTCCCCACTTACATTATCTCTTTCTAACTAAAGAATTTTAAGGGAGAGTTACTAAGCAATGAATAAGGTACAGTGAAATCCTAGTGAAATCCTCTGAATTGGCATTAGAGTTCTCTCTGAGTTTGGGACTGGCCTGGGCAGCTACTGGACCTGGGTGTGTCGTGACTTCTCCAGTTGAGCCTGGATTTTCTCTGGACAGACCCTAGCTTGTGTTCCCTTGTGCCCTCCATGAACAGCACCCAGGAAAGTGGCTCAGTTAGACGGAGTCTCATGGGCCTCCAAGGGCTGCTGGGAGAATCTGAGTCTTAGGATCTTTCTCTAACCTTGTTTATAAGCTGGAGTCAGGCCCTTTTGTGTTTCTTAAATTAAATTGAAAAGACTGCCCCACTTTCAAATTCCCAGCCCTGCCTAATTCCCCAATCCTGGGTTGCTGAGATTTGGACTTGGCCCTCAGCTCCAGCTTGATTGTCTGGGCAGAATGGGTGAGCTGGGGTCCCTGAGCTCTGTGGCCCTGGGAAACCCTGCCCGAGCCTCCTGGCTGCTTCCTGTACCTGGGCAGGTATGTGGTTACTCTGCAGCCCAATCTGCATTTCTTTTCCTAACTTTCCCTGACCCGCTGGGTAACCTCAGACTCAGTGGGCCTTGGTTTCTTCGCCTGTAAAACAGGAGTGAGTATTAAACTAAATTTGAATCTTCCATCTTTTTTAGGAATGAGAGATCTCTTAAAGCAAGGAACAAAAGGAGGGAGTTGAGTGAGGAAGGAAAAATGAATGAATGAACTAGCAAAGGAAAAGTCTTGTCAGGAAGTCTGAAATGTGAAGCAGGCCTGAGTGGAGCTGCTGTGTTCGAGGCAAGAATGAAGAGGCAGTGGGTGCCCTGAGTGCAGGTCACAGGCCGCGACACTGCACAGGGTGCAGCCACTGTCCCTGTGAGGCCGTTGACACAGCCTGGCTCCTTTCATCTTTCTTCTCTCCCTTGTCCACCTGGACTTCTGAACTGAAGGGAGACCACTGAGACAGCCCATCAGTGTATAGAGTGTTTGGGTGGTCAGCCTCCAGCTGCTCATACTGATTGGAATTTGTGATGGTGCAGGCTGAGTGGAGCAAGGGTTGATCCCACCCAGCTGAGGACAGGGTTGTTCCCGGGGAAGTCAGCCCAAGGGTAGCCCGGAGTGGCTCTCAGACCACTCCAAAGCTTTCCGACAGTCAGTGTTTCCCAGCAAATGTGCTGCTGATGACAAACCAGAACTTTTTAATTAAATATGAATTTTCTAAATTCTTTAGAAACTCCGTCCATGCTTTGAAATAATCCAGTGTGTATGAAGAATGACAGTTTATATAGATAAAACAAGATTAGCCCTTTAATGACTGTGTCAGCTGAATATTATGTATATGGGCATTTACTCTTCTGTTCTCTTTTGTATATATTTGAAATTTTGTATTTTCAGCAATCTTTGTTTATTTGATTAAGCTGGGAGTCCAGCCTAGGGCTTCACACATTCTACATTTGATCTTAGCCAAAAGGCCGAGAAGTGATAAGCTTCACACATTCTAAGTGTGCACTCTGCCTCTGAGCTTCACCTCTAGCCTGAAATTTTACATTTTAGAAAGTTACCAGAGGGATTGAGGTATGGCTCAGTGGTAGATGGAGGATCTTTCCAGCATGTGAGAGGCCCTGGGTTCAATCTCCAGTATCAAAAACAAAACAACACAACCAAAAAAATGGCAGTGAAGTATCCATAACTCAAACTCCCTTGTGATCCTTTCCCTCCTATAATGCACATGGCAGGGTTTGCTCTGTTACTAATATGTATGTTAAATGCCGAACCTTGTCCATATAGTCACTGCCTACATTGCTTTACTTGGTTTCTTGTAGATTCCTGTGTGTTTCTATAATCACTCAGTACCAGGATGCAGGACTTAATTTTGTAAATCAATTGCAGGCATCAGCTTCAGACTCAAGCAAAACTAGTTTTAGAGGAAAACAAGTTGTTGCTAGAGCAGCTGGAGATTCAGCAAAGGAAAGCCAAGGACACCCAGCAGGAGCATCTCCAAGAGGGTGAGTGACATTGCTACTGTGTCTTTGACAATGGGGAGGTCCTGTCGCTCAGGTCTTTAACTGAAGTGCAGCTGCGGGTCACATTTCTAGCCATTAACCCGCCTTGGTTCATGGATTGCTTTCTCTCAGATTCCACCTACCTCCCAGCCATTCTTTGTATTTCGTGCATCAGTCCTAGAAGGGGGAGAAGTCACTCAAGGTAAACCTTCAAAACAACACAGGGTTGACCTCTCAAATGTTTGTTGAACTTAGAAATAAGTAGTAGAGTTCAGTCTGTACACAGTTTTTCTGTGCTCTTTCCCTTTTATTGGGGCTTGGGCATCATAGGATAATCCTCTGTAGTTAGGTCTCCATTGAATGCCTCTGAGTGTCACCTGTCCCCACGTGCCCCCGAACCTGTAGGAGCTCCACAGTATTTGACAGACATCAAAGTCAGCCAAGTTAAGGGTCATTTCTTTTGCCTTGATTAAAACCCAATTTATGAGAACAAAAACATTGTCATTTTCCCCCTTTACTGATTTTTCCAGTGAAAATGACATCGGAGAGGAATCTGAAATATAAGCTGTCTTGCATGGGCCATTGTAACCTGCTGCCCTGACTTCCCTCCCACACCTGTGCACATTATGGCCCCCTCCCATCCTGTGGGAGAGCTCATTACCAGCCTGTGCTGGCACGGAAGCTACTGTGCTGCTGAAAACCAGGCCATATGAAAGATGAAGCACCTTGCCGGGCATGGTGGGGCATTCCTATAATCCCAGCACTCAGAGGCTGAGGCAAGAGGATTATAAGTTAGAGCCTGGCCTGGGCAATTTAGGAACAAGTGAGACCCTGTTTCAAAATTTTAAAAAATAACAAAAGTGATAGGATGTAGCTCTTAGTAGTAGAGATCCCATGAGTTGTATCTTCAGTACTTAAAAAAAAAAATAAACAAGCCCATCTCTTGAAGAGTCCCCTGAGAGTTTGTCCTGCAAGACTTCTCCATAGACCTGCATGGCCCAGAATCCTTTGCTCCAGAATCATTGACTGGGAGGAGATAGAATGTTGCTGTTTGTTTCAGGACTGGAAATGATAGGGAAATTAATTTCCTGGTGACTGAGTTTATTTTTCTCGAGCATACTGGAGTGCACAGGTTTGCTGACTGTTCTGATCACGATGGGCAGGGCAGAACTTTTGGGCTGTGTGAGTCAGTGGGGTGACTCTGATGTTTTCCCATTCCC